ATATATTATAATATAATATAATATAATATAATATAATATAGAGCACGGGAACTCAAAGAGCATTTGTATGATCGTAGTTCAGCTGTTAATATGAATTAAGCCAGAAGTCAAAGGCCGCTTGAATGTGTCAGGTGTTATCTGTGGGCAGTGTGGCGTCATGTGTTGGATTACAAACACAGAACAGCAGCACATTCTCACACACATCTCTGTCGTTCCACACTGAACACAACAGAGCCACAGCTGGTTAAACCGGACGAGTGAGGAGATCACCGAAGAGGTTTAACAACACACTCCTGAGTCACACTCACTCACTCTTTAAGACAAATATCATCCCATAAAACAGAACAATCAAACACAAAAATGATGGCATTCCGCCTCTCATATGCTCATGATTGACTTATGAAACATGAAGTGCAAATAAGTGTCTGAGTGTATTGGGAAGGAAGGAAATCATGAAGATGATATGAAACTTTACAGGTACAAATTTAAAATGTCAAAGTCTGCAAAAATTATATAGGCCTATATCCTATATTTCTTTTTTAAGCCATTCCTACAACTATATCAGTCTCAAAAACTGACTAGTACACAAAGTAAGTTATTAAGTAATAATAGATTTGATTTGATTTGATGGAAATACATGATTTTATTAAAAAACTTCAGATGCTGGAAAAATATTGTACCACATTTTTAACGTGGTATCATAAACTGTAAAAAAAACTATCAGCCAACCAGATGATATGTGGATAAATCACATCCATATATTCTGGGATATAAACTATGTGACTGAATTGAGAGTGACATGAACACAAAAGGATTTTCAGCAATGTACTTTAGCAACATGAAATGATATCTAGAAATCACTTCTGAGACGTCTCGGTCACGTCTCAATTCTCCGGATACAAGATCTAAATCACGATCGGCTCATGATGGAAAAATCTGCTAATGTTTGACTTGATCTTTCCAAGGCTAAACTCGCACATGATTTTCAACCAAAATCTGTGAACATCATACAAAAAATATCAAATCATATGAAACGTTGGTAACACTAGTTACGCTACTTTAGTAAAGTACTTTAAATTACATGAACTCACATTAAAAAAAATACTTAAATCAGTTCATGCTAATCACTGTTAATGTTAATTTCGATATTTACTAATACATTTATAAAATCAAAGGTTGTATCTTAATGTTGTTTAATGGACCCGAGCTAACAAGAACTAAAGAGTAGCTGTGTTTTCATTAACTAATGTTAACAAAGATGAATAAATTCTGTAAGAAATGTATTGCTGATTGAATGCATAAACTTAATGTTTGTGGTGTTAATGAAATGTTCAAAGCTCATCTCATAACTTTACATCACTCTCATCTAAGACATCAGATCTGATTTGATTTAAAAAATAGAGATCAGGGTAACACTTTATAATAACTTTCATTAATAAATCATTAACAAAAAATATATAATGCTTAATGGATCATTAGTTAATATATATTCAAAGAGTTAAAAATGTGAAATAATGTGCTTGTTAATGTTTGCTAATACACTTATTAAACATTAGATCATGTTCAAACAAATCATTATTTCATGCAAGTTAAAATGCTTACAAATGTCATTAAACCTTCAATTCCATATGATCAAGCACTTATTGAAAATCTGCAAATGATTTTAAATGATGAAAAGCTTGTGTTAATGCACAACACTTTAGCTGCTGGTGAGGTGTGATACGGGTAAGTTTAGGGACTGGTTTGGGTAGGTTTAAGGGCTGGTTAAAGGGTCAACAGTTTACAGGGGTCAATTTGATTGCTATAAGAACACGGTTCAATCTGTTTATATTATATGTTTTATAAATGAACAAGCATTTTCTTTTAAAAAATGATTTGTTTTCTCCTGTTTATTTATAATTCAAGGAATATCCTGTTTAATGTTACACTGAATGTGAGTGTTGAGGCAATAAAAACATTTTTTTTGCAACAGTAGCTAAAAGTCCAATGCCCGTAAAGATCCTGAATGATTAGTGATTGTTTCTAAACATTTACAAATGATGAAAAGTTTCAACTTTAGATTGGCTACTGCAAAAACACGAACAAATGATTAATAAATGATTAGTAAAGATGTGTGAATAGGGTAATTTCGGGTCTTTCAGGACACTTTTTGCCGTCGAGATGACTGCTCATAAAGGTATTAATGATTAGTAAACATTCATAAACATTTGCAAATGATGAAGAGTTTCCACTTTAGATTGGGTACTGCAAAAAACATGAACAACTAATGAATAGGTTATTTGTTAAGCTGTTTAAATAGAGGTCTATACACAACAAACAAAGACCGACAGATGAAGATCATATGAACTGAACGTTTTCTGGTAAAACATCAGCCTTAGTGCAGTAAACCTCAGAACACTCTTTACATAAAGAGAAATCACTGAGCTTACCTGTCAGGTGTGTTTGTCATGAAGAAGTGAACGAAGTAAATCTGTGCTGTATACTGCCATTCACCGGACTCCACCCACAGCACAGAGAAACAGACGATCAGCAGCTCACATATAAAGACAGCACGAGCTACAGTTACCTGGGCATCGGGAGGCTTCGGTCTGGATCTCAAAAGCCTCGGAGGGCTTTTTATGCAATAAAGTCACGATGTGCTCAATTAAATGTAGCAATTAAAACTTGGATTAAATTATACAACTCCATAATAAAACCAATACTTTTTTATGGATGTGAAATTTGGGGACCAGTACTACATTTTAAAAATTAGGATCAAACTTCAATAGAAAAACTACAACTAGAAATCGTCAAAAACATTTTAGGGATCCACAGAAGCACGTCCAATGATGCCTGCAGAGCTGAATTCGGCTTCTACCCACTGAAGACTGAGATCCAGAAGAGATGTGTTCAGTTCCATCAGTCTGATATAATCCTCGAAACACGCTCGCTCTTCAACAGGTCCATCAAACCCAGCTCCTCACTGACTAAAGCTGCAGCCCCACAGACATTAATACATTTTAATAATAAAAAGAAAGACAAATCCTCTCCAAACACAGATGAAGTAAGCATGATTTAGAAATAGAGAGAGGAAGACAGAGACACACATGGACCGAGCAAGAGCACAGGATCTGTAGACACTGTGATCTGATTTGTGCTAAATATCTCAAGGTGAGGGGAACATTTCTCCCCAGATTTGAAGCCCTGATCCCATCGTTTACTGAGAAAATGCCCTTCTCACTTGGAGAAGATGTCAACACAGCTGCACTATAGCTGCAAAATTTGTATTAACCATTCACAATGTTAGGTGTTAAATATGATTAACTCTGAACTAACTCACTTTATCTTTTCATCTATTTAGATGGATTTTATTTATTATCTACAGTATGTTGTTGTTTTTTTATTATAGTTTATTTTTATTATTTTTGTTAACACTTTATTTTGATGCTCCCTTTTGAACATTCTGGTGACAATAAGTAACGTTGCACCACATGTCAACTAACTCTCATCAGAGTATCAGTAGACTGTCTGCTTAATATCTGCTAACTCTTTATTGTGATGGTCTCCCAACAGACATTCTCCTGACTATAAGTAACTTTGCAAGTACATGTCAACTTATTCTAACCCTAACCCTACCAGTCTACTAATACTCTACTAATACTCTAATGAAAGTCAGTAGATATGTAAGTGCAACGTTACTTATAGTCAACAGAATGTGTTAAAGGGACCATCAAAGTAAAGTGGAACCGCTAATGCTTTGGCAACATTGTGTTACACAGTCATGCTGATAAAACTCAACTGAATTGAGAGAGAGAGAGAGAGATTGAAATCACCTTTATTTACAACACATAGGTAATACCATACTGTGTTACTGCTGA